TACATTTATTCCCACTACATATACTTTTTGTGATCATATATACTCCACCTCCACAAATTCACTCCCAGATGATAATAGCGTGCGGTCGATCTTTTCTGATTTCTTCAAATTGGGTCTCGTTACTCAAAGATGAAAAAAATAGCACTAGATGCGCCATACATCGCCAATAGGAAAAAATTGGAAGACATCACAGTATGCTCTACCTCTGTAGATGACGTATTTTGCCTTGTTAATGCACTTGCACCCTTACAGCGATATCTTACGGTTTTAGTGACACAGAAACTTTGACGTTTGAACAGATGTCATTCATTTTTTGCAAGTTCATAGATTCAAGAGTCAAAATATGATTCTTCACGGCACAAATGACGCATGAAACTTCAAAGTTTTACGCATGATTATATGATGGCTGTATTTTTTTCTCAGTAAAGCTGGTAGGTACTTAATCGTATGGATCCAATTTCTTTATCTTTTTTTTCTATTTTATCTTCGTGAACGAGGACTATACTTTTCGCATAATTTAGTGCGGAGAGACAACTAGGGCTAGGTACTTTAGAAGATCGTAAGCAGCATACGAGAGCAAAACAGCGGAACCAGAGCGATGCGACGCACGAATATAATCTTATCGCATTTATTACGGGCGGGGGAGTTTAGTTGGGGGGTGGGAAGGACTCAGGGTGGCGCAGGTGAGAAGTTTCAGGCGATGAATTCGTGACTGTATTGGTTCGACTTTGTCAATTTAGCGCACAAGGGTTGCGTTACTTTAAGGGGAAGGCTTATTATTTGTGATCTTCCGCCAATTAAGGAGAAAGGCGGTGAATATTATGAGGAACTAGGGGATGCCCCCTAGCCGCTTCGCAGTCCAACCACCTGAAGCGCTTTTTGCTTTATGCCTTACACTTTCCTCTCATAATTGTATATCAGAGTAAGATTAGATGGTTGAACGGCTACTACGAGGTTATTTAACGACTAAACTGTTGTTCATTCATAATATGAATAGGTAAAACCTTACGTCTCTGAACCTAAAATTGAATGATATTCTAATCATATTAGAGAGTAGGGTTCTCGTTGAATCTTTCCTCCTTGAGTTTTCAGCGTTACAATTGGCCGCTTTATCCATTAATTGAACTACATTTTGCAAAAAAGAGTCAAGAGCACAGGAAGACACCTAAAGTTATGTAACGGATTGTGTATCTTACGATAAAACCAGATATCGACGGTGAAACTACCAAACCACGTAGGTATCTCGTTTGCGGTGTTTAAAAATCTACGCTCACATTTTATTTTTTTGAAGTAGACCAAATCAATATCATACCTTAAAATGTTCACGGAATTTTCTCCGCACAAAGAGGAAAAATCACAGAAATTTTCAGGACTGGATGTTAAGTAGTTTTTCATTTAAAAAATAAAGTGTGACAGGAAGTCTGCGACGTCGCAAACCGAGATACGTGGTTTGGTAGTTTCACCGTCGATATTTAACGTATAGTGGGACCAAAATTCATGGAATCAGACATCCACCCTATAAATTACCTTTCTACGAAGCTGAGTATACTGAGTATAGTTTTTAAGAAAAGCAGAGCGCTTTTCTTAAAAACAGTTGCTTATGAGACTATTTTAAAGGCAAAAAATGAAATGAAAGCCATTCATATTCACATGAAACGCTAAACGCGTTTGGTACGGATAAACATATGAACTTAAAAATTACCAGCAATTTTTAGGAATCAATCGTTCACTGTCGCACTAATGTTTTTAGCTGCAAAATAAAAGCAGCCTTTGTGTTTTATATACACTCCGCTACTACCTACCCTATATTAGTGTTAGTATTTATTCTGTGTCCCAAAATACTATATATATATATAAAGGTCGCTTTACAGCACTTCCTCGCGCTCTACGACTCCTAACCTCCACTGCTCTCTTTCAAACCACAAATCTTGGGGGATTGAGCACCTTAACATTTCCGCTTCAATCCCTTCCCTCCAACCTTTCATTGGGCGCCCTCTGCGTCTTCTCCCAGGAGGAACCCAGTCAAGGACCTTCTTCGGCAACCTGTCTCCTGCCATTCTCTGGACATGACCATACCAAATGAGTTGTTTTGTCATAATGTCATGCACGATGGTCTGTTTGGCATCCATGATCTCCCGTACCCTCTCATTCCTGACGCGATCCTTTCTAGAAATACCAGCGGATCTACGCCAGAAGTCCATCTCAGTTGCCTCTAAAACCTCCCGGGTCCGCTGTTTCATTGGCCATACTTCACACCATTACTGTAGGTTACTATGCTCTTGACAATCGCGTTGTAGATCCTTCTTTTGTTCTCTATAACCAAATATACTATAAACATCAATTAACGTTGTTCATTATTCCAGTACAACGCACTAACTTTAATCATCGAGCATTCAAACTTTACTGCAAGAGATCATGGACGTTTGATTCGCATGAGAGAGACAATTTTCGTGCGGATTTTCGTGCCAATCTGACACAGAGCGTGCTGAGTAGCGTCACGGCGGGAGTATTATTTACAATCCAAGAGGACGTAAATAAGACGCAGACGAGGGAGGTTGAGAGAAAAGATTAGAAACGTTCATTATACATTCGGAACTTTTATGCACGGTGAGAGTAGCGAGTTCGAAAAACCGAATTGGCGTGCTCGGGCGCGCGCTCCCGGCGCTACGAGTTCGTCAGGTTAATTTCGGATTGTTGAATGTTGAATCCTCGATTCATTTCGAATTCCGCAGCCATCCTCAACAAGTGCCCGACGAAGCCCCCCTCAACCCCTCTTCCCGATTCCACGGGCGAAAATTTAACTTAGGGTCGGGATGGCGGGTCCTGACGCAACGCGAAAGAAACGACGTAACACTTTTTACCGGGGTGAAGGGTCGCTCGAGAATTACGTAACGCTTTTAGAGAGGGTTGAGCCTGAGAGGTATCATGGTGGTTCGTGAAATATTAAAGAGTTTGGTTCCGGGAATGGATAAAAAACATGAGGCTTCTCCATTCTAAGTAACCTTTTTCGATAGTAATTTTATTTTTCTCAAATTTTATGATCCTGTACGAATTTGTTGGTAAAAACGTATGTTCCAAGGTGCCCGAAAAAAGTTATTAACATCTTAAAAATGAAAGATCGGTACAGAGAGAGGGTAAGAAGAAGTCTCAAGCAGGTGAAAAGGGCAAAGAGATAGGAGAGAGGGGTAAAAATTTGCACACGAAAAATGGAAAAGAGAACAAGGAAAGACAAAATCAACGAACGTGCAAAAAAACAGAGGAATTAAATATTGGCGTAACTATCTTTCGAATTGTTTTTATTTTTATCCAAAATGTACATTTTTCATGCGAAATCTATCATATTATTTGTTTTTTTCTATATAAGTCCTAGTTATGAAAATTTACTATTATTTTTCACTAAAAATCATTCAGAGTTCTGTGGATGTAGGCGAAAATTTAAAACGTTTGAGTTTCCTTTCAAACTGATTTTGGCAGTTTTTTTTCTATTTTAATTAACACATTGACATTTCAGACTTATCATTTCTTCGCGCTTAACAATTTCGAGCAGTCTTTGACTCTACCACGAACTTTCAGATTGTTGCTGAACTCGTATAGAGAATTTGGAAGTTAATTCACTCATCTGTTTCCCTTAATAATTCATATTTACAGTTCCTCGCAGACGAATAAACGAATTAGATTCGTAAATTCACGACGTAGTGCTCGAGTTTTGCGACAGAGATTTAGTTACCTTCGTTTGTCGTAGTTAAAATTCCCTCCTTCGAAAGTTTTTGAAATGAAGAACCTCTCTTAGCTGAATAAGTTACTAACAAGCAAAACAAGATACAGTGCGAGCGTACAACTTTTTGAGCATATCTAACATTGACAAGATAAGTCAAGAGTGGCTTTCTCTAGTCGCCGGAGGAATTTCGTATTGTATCTACGTCCTAGTTAATCTCTCTTTTTTTTTTTTTTTTTTGGTTTAAAAAAAAAATGAAATAATTCAAGAGGATATGACTGCCTCTCCTTTGAAAAAACAAGATATATAATGGGCAGCCTGTTGGCGTTAGGAGCAATGAACGCAAGGACGAAAATCCAATGCAAAATAAAAATGCTTTGATACAACTATACGTACTTAGTGGATGTCCGTGTTGCATACGCGAGCAGTTGAAGGCGTTTTGGTATTCTTGAAGTGCATGGAAATTTTCGACTCGGCACACCTCTGCAATGATGCAATTGCAGATTATTTAAATATATCGATGCGATGACCAATATACGATACCACGTGTCTCCATTTGCAACGTTGCAGACTTCCTGTCATACTTTATTTTTTCTTTTGAAACCAGGCAACTAAATCAAGAAAGATCAAGGAATTTTTCAACAAATTAATTGAAAAATTCCTTGATTTTTCTTTCTTTGAGCAGAATATTTTGTATAAATTTCGAGCTATAAATTTGGCTTGTTATCCTTCGAATGAATAAATCAGGAGCGGAAATTTTGAAACACCGCAATTGGAGATACGTGTTTTTGCGCTTTAGCTTACAATCTTATCTTACTTAAAATCTGTCCCTTTGAATATGATAGGTTGAAATACGTCCAAAGTTTATAAAACGGAATGGTTCTAATTTTTGCTTGATGGGAATAAAATTAAGATGGAACATGGTGAAGATAAAGTGTGGCGTGAAATTTAAACTTGCCGGATGTGCTCATAGTGATTTGTTAGCGATTTAATTCAGAGACAATTCTTCCTCAAGTCGTAACTAAAGTTTGCAACAACCTCATTGTGAAAAATTCAACTTGTATTGTCGCTCCTTCGAAGACCTTATTGAACTAGGGTGATGAGTCAATTGATAAGAAGGAAACGAATCTTATGTTGCAGTGAATGGCCAATACGTAAAAATGAACAGGTCAAATTTAGAGCTTCCTCATCATTGGAGACGATCGCTTGGGCTGTGCAGCTAATTTTTTTCAGTTTGAAATTATCAATTTTTATGGAGATTCTATTTTTCCTTTCTTATTTTCAGGTTTTCAGCCGCAGAAGATCTTTATCCTCGCTTAATTTTTAGAAGGTAAGAAAAAAACACTTTAATATCAATATTGCGTTTTACACACCATTGATAGTTCTGCTTAAATAGATACTTTATTATTTTCTCCTTACTACTATATTTTTGTGTTTCTTGTTTTCAGCCGAACTAGATGTCGAGAGTGAGGTTATGAGAGGGCTCATACTAAATAAAAACGAAAATTACGAAGAAAAAAAAACAAGAAATCTAACAGTTTACATTGTACAGATATGTATTTATGCGAAATGTTCGCATCTTTGGAACTCGAGAGATAAAGTATAACGTAATCTTAGAAATCTAAAAAAAATCTTCCGGTGCCAAATTTAATCATAATTTCCTTGAAGTAGTAAGTTTGGGGTTGAGACTGATAAACGTCAATCTCCTGAATGAATCTAAGTTACTCCTGGGAGGATTTTCCTCCATTGTTTTTTTACTTAAAATGAGCATTTAAACATAAAAACACATAAAAATTCTAACCATCTTTTTTGTTCTTTTCTTCGTTGAAAATGAAAGCATTGTTGTGAATCATTTTAGCAATTTGAAGATAAATTTATCAACAAATTGCATCACAATGATGTAAGTCTTTAGGGTTTGAACAGTCGTAGACTTAGTTCGCCAAAAGTGACATCCCACCAAAACGGCCCTCGACCATTTTTGGCTGAAAAAAAAACCAAAACGATCGGAAAATAGAGGCATTAAACTTCTAACTCAATATTTCGACGGCAAAATCGCCGATCGAAGACTCCATTACAGACCCATTTACACCAGCCTATAAGCCTAGGACCCGACGCCTACACGACGAAAACCACGACTTTTGGATAGGAGCCGCCGGCCGACGGGCGTAAGTGGCGAAGTGCTGCGGGAGTTAATCAAGCTCAAGCCCAAGTTCCAAAAGTGGCCTTGTGTGCCCGGAATCGTTAAACAGATTATTGACTCGGCTCGCGCGCCCGATATTTATTATCACGGCCGAACGTGTCACACCCGCGCCGTGCAGGTTGCAGCCTTAATTAGTTACGGCGCTATAAATTGATCCCGCGGGACCCATACATGTACGCAGAGAGTGCTGTCAACGATGTTGGCCGGCGGATGTGCCGCGAGAGGAAAGCCCGGAGCCTACACGATTCCTTGACGGGATTTTTAGGTTCCCTGTGCGTGGACGCATACAAATCCACCTTTGGAGATTTTCTTCGCCCTCAGACTAAAATTTTAAGACACTCCGTAGAGCTTCCTTGAATTCAAATCTCCCTCTTGAGTGCTCCGTATCGTCGCTCCTCTGACGTAAGGACGTATCTCGATTTACAGGTTAGCCCCAAAAAGCATAGAGTTATATGGTCAATGAGGCTCACGAGAAAATTGAGATAAGCCCTTACGGCAAAGGAGCGACGATATGTGCACTAAATCCGTGCGCCTCAGCCACACGCGAGGAGCGTATTAAAAACGTGCGCCTTGAATAAACAGAGTCTTCGTCGATTTTTTTTAGAGTATTTCCTGATTAAGAGATGCCAGCTTCCGGAGGATCTCCACCATGACAGATTCCTGTGGAGAGTAGGCGTCGCAAAGCGCCCTGGCGCGCCGTAAAAGCGGCTTATACATACATACATATTTCCTGGGGGAACGAAACACAATGAAGTTTACATTATTAAAAGAAATTTGAGTAACTGATTTTTAATTTTACCGAGAAAAACTTAACTGCGCGCGCGGCGTTGATCGGAGGGAAAACGTCCCATCCCACTCATTTCGGTGAATCACACTCCTCTACCGACCTCGCATAGTTGCCACATGGCTCCTGATCCGTCGCCGCGCGCAGTTTAAAATAGCCGATTTTCCCGACCTTCGCTCCTTTCCGCTCTTATAACTCGCGACCAAAACATTTCCCCAGCATGCGGTAAAGAGCTAGAGGGGCTACAGAGAGTCATGAACAACATATCAGTTTTTCATGAAATTAAAAAAATGGCTTTTTTTTAAATCGGCCCAAACGTGAAAAAATAAGGGGTCTCTTTTGAGCGTTCCGGCGCTTCGGAGGCGATAACTTGAGCTGAAGTTGACAAAACCCTATGATGTTATACATTTTCTGAAAGCTCTCGTCACGCTGAATACGCTCGTTTAAACCGCGTTTACGAAAACTTCTTGGTTTTCGAGTAATAAATTCGCGAAAATTTTGCCGGTTTTGAACTTTGACCCCCCGCCGTGTCTCCTCAAAATTTTTGGGGGGCTTGAAACTTTGGGAAAAGATGGGGCATTGTTAGGTGAATGAATAGGGCAAGTCTCAAAGGTATCCGCCCCGAGCCCCAATGGCCCGTTTTGCACGTAGTCCTTTGTTTGAGATTCGAATTGTTTAGATGGTCAAAACGGTCGAGCCCATAATCATTAACTTTAAGGCTCATGTGAGCCTTTTACAGTTCTCTTTTAACAGCTGCCGTATAAATCCCCACATAGGTTAGACGTTTTTACTTATCTTGTTGCATGGAGAAACTGCCGCGTTTGAATTTAGAGTAGAGAATTATCTTTGATAAGAGGAGGAATTATAATGGGTGAAAATTATTCTTGGGGTTCTGTTTAATTAACATGTGATCAAAAGTTAATTCCTTCTATATGTTGATGTGAAATGACACTGGTTTATGAAAAACACCTTCCTAATCGACGTGTTGGATTCAGGAAAGGCATTTCTTGGTTGCAGTATTTCAGAATCTCCACTGCTACTATATATTATGAAGAAAAAACTATTGAGTGATTTTTCTAAAAATTTTCATTTTCAGCATTGTAAAATCACAAAGAAAGTCCACTGAAAGTTTCATTAAATTCCATAAATTTGTTTCCGTCATAAAGAATGAAACATTGTCGGAGATTCTGAGACACAACAACCAAGAAATGTTCAATCTGCACCCAACGCCTCAATTTATGACGGTTCATTAAATCATAATGGCATGCGTACCACACATCGAAAATCGATGTTTCTCGTCTCGCCTCTGGATGCAACAGGCAATACCGCGTAGCACGGGACTCCTCCCCAATCAACCACCTATTTTCAACTCATTTAGAAAATACCGACACTAACCGCATGATTTATCTTCGGAGAAAAATCTTTCCCTTCCTGACGCCTTTTCGGTTTTTCCGTGGCAGATTCGGTCCGTATCTATTCTGAAGGCGTTCGGCGCGGTGCTTGAGGCGTCGCGGGAACGTGCTGTCCGTTACCCGCCCCCGCCTACTCGATCGCATCATAAACCCCCGCCCCTCCTAATTTCCGGCCCCCTAATTGACCGCAATCCCCATTTGATTCCCTGCGCGTCGCCTTTAATTTAGTATTTATTCTATCAGCCACCGCGTTTCGTCTTAGTGCCTCTGTCGCCTTGATTGAGGTACGTCGGAAGGAAAGACATTTGAGGGGCTTAAAAGACAAGGCGCATAAGTGCAGTTTTTGAATAATTGAGTTTTTAATGCTTTCAAGTTAAACTTGCCTTAATGCATATTCTGTGAAATCTGCTCTCAAATTCCAATTTTTAAGCATTAAAAAGTCGGTTTGAACATTCTTTTCGCCAGAAAGATCCATGTAATTTTGAAACTCCAAACACGAAACTTTGTATTTCTCGAAATAGCAAAAACTGCACTTATGCGCCTTATCCTCCAAGCCACCTATTTCCATGTTCGGAGACTTGCCAGTTAAATAAACCCAATTTTCGGGTGTGGAAATGAATGTGCCTCCACTCCAAGGGGCCGTCCATAAATTACGTCATCCACTCAGGGGGAAGGGGTTCTGAGGATGAGTGACACACATGTAGGTGGCCAAGAGATAAGAGGGTCAGGCAAAAGTCACGTCACCTTATCATGGTGAGAAAAAAAGTGGATTTTAGACTTTTCCTACATGCCCAACGTTATTTTCAAGTCATTTTGAGTCATGAATCAATATGTATTACACCTGTAGCACAGGTTTGTTACAACCTAACACCTACGCAAAAAAAGGGGGACCGCGCTTGAAAGGACGTAATTTTTAGGGGGGAGTCTCTAGGTTAGTAACATGTAGGGGTGTCGAAAGGAGGATAGAGGGGTCAAAAGTCGGGGAAAATGGGCAACGTAATTTATGATAGCCCCTTAACTATCTCAATGTAAATAAACACGTTCATCTCTTTTTCTACTTATTTATTCGCTCTTTTTCTAGTGCGATGGGATCCTGTCAACTCAGAATTCAGAAAATTCAGAATATTGGTAATGAGTTCGTTCATGGGGATATTCTGAAGAGAGGAGTTCGAAGAAAAGGGCATGGAGCTTAAATGTTACTCACAAAGACACATAATTATAAAGGTTGTTGGCGCTCTGTCGCCCAGAGGGAATTTCATTTAGTCGTAACGGAGATTGGCGGTAGGTTAAAAACTTTAACCAAATCTACTCGCGGAAATTCGACAGAGCGGGGTACCTTTAGTTTGTCATTAATTTCAATGGACTGAAGCACGCAAAGAGGATGGCTGTTAAGGCAGACCAATCGCGTAACTCCATTCCTCCTCAGTCTTTTCTCGTCCAGTCGACAAACATAAAATTTCAACAATCGGGTTGCAGTCGTAACTAATTTCGAACGGACAAGAATGGACACAATGACGCCAGTGGTGAGTCGTGCTTTGCGATTTATCGATTGCTCTGCCATTTAAACCCATGGAAAATGATCGATGAACAGAGTGTTTGCAACGAACACCTAAATAATCGATACTTTACCATAGCTTCAAATGGGGAAATATCGAAAATCGATCATGCACTGAATGACGCGGGGATTTTCATTCGATATCTACCCTTCTCTGTGACGGTGGATATCAGCAAAAAACCCTACATCTCCCACAGTTGATTAAAATGTCAAATGGTCAACTTTTAGTTCAAAAGTAATGCACTTTTGATGACATACGGGGATGAGATTGTTAACATGCGGGTCAAGCTACCTCTCAACCCAAAAACTTTCTCAATATCCAAAGGGATTTAATCTTACCGGTCTCGATCAGAATGGGTCGAATGCCTGCTGAAAAATA